TTGCCCAGGTGGGTCTCGAACCCGCAGGCTCAGGCAATCTACTCATCTCAGCCTCCCAAAGCGCTAGATTACAGGCTGAGCCACCAAGCCCAGTGTCAGTGCTATTTCAATGATGTGTTGAACCTTGTCATTTGACTGTGCAGAACTGCTTCTTCTTGGCTTTGCTACAAAATGCCTTGGCTAGTATGGAGTCTCCTCTGCCGTGGTATTATCTGTTGGTGAGGGATCAGCAATGCCCTCCAAGACTTACCACACATTCCGACTGACCCATATGAAATTCAAACCCACAGAGGCTGTGGCAGTCATCTGGTCCAGACTGTCATCGTACAGATGGGGACAATGGTACTATGCACAGTGCAGGGACTGCCCTGACCACAAGCTGGCCCACCTCCCCAGGAGGCCTGTCCAGCGTGATTATGGCCCAAACACGCTGCCCGGTAAGCTTTTGTGTCCCAGCGTCTCTCAAGAGATCTCCTGTCCATTTGGCTAAAGAAATAGGTGAGAAAAGCCCCATTGCGATTTTAAAGACTGTCACATGCTAATTACGAGTGACTCCATTTGAAAGACGGCAATGAAAGCATTCTTAATCCTCCTCCTTCTCCCAGACCTCCATCCCTGGAAGAAAAGCCAGCTCTTTGAAAGCTGTGAACCAAACACAACAGTTTTGTGGACAATGGTTAAGAGGTAGGCTAGTTCCCAGGGAACATGGCGACAGGGGTTTTTTCTCGTTACCTTGGTAACGGCTACCTTGGCGCCCTTGTTGATGAGCTGAACCACATTCTCTGCTTGGCCTTTGTACGCAGCTATGAGAAGGCGTTCTGAAAGCGCGGCGACCGCATCCTGCTGGCTCATGAATCAGGAGAGAAAGAGGTTTTCGGGAACGCCGGAGACTCGTTCCTTCAGCTCAACACAAAGTCGCTGGCCCGGGCCGGCACCCACGGGGAAAGGTGTTCGCGGGCATCGGAAGGTGCCTTTAAGAGGATGCCATCGTTGGGACCTAGGGATCGCAAAACAAAGCTGCCATCAGGGCCCTTTGACACACAAGGACAGGCCACTCCTCTTCTCTCAGATGGGCAGGCACTCTGCTGGGGGCACATCGCAGGGGAGGGGAGCAGGCAGAAAGCACCCTCCCTGCGGCACAGCCCCTGTACAGAAGTCCCAGGTGGAAGGCGGTAGAACGTGCCAACCGACCTCCCTCCTTCCCTCCTCAGGGTCGTTCTCCGGAAGAGCATGGTCAGAACGGCTGGGTTCGCTCCGTATTTATCTCCCAGGGAGCAGGAGGCCCGACATAATCCCCCAAGCGCCACCTGGCCCACACACCCGCCTTTGGCAGGTAACAGAGCTGTGTGTGAGCACCCAAGGCCTGCCGGCAGCATCCTGTGGGCCACCACGGTTAACATGCCCGTTCCTCCAGCAGACCCGGGGCCTGGGGCCCACACCACAGAGACCCAGCTGAGTGGGCTCCTCCTCAGGGTTTTCTCCCGGCATTTACTGCAGTTCTCTCCTTCCATCCTTTTCTCACTGTAAATAGTGCAGCTCCCGAGTTCTAGAACAGATGGAGAATTGGGCACAGGCCCGGGCTGACTCCCGGTTCCAAATGGCTAAAACGATCTACCTTGAGAACAACACAGATGCTAAATGCTGACAGCGGCTCTGCCAATGTAGGAGGGGCTTGTAGTGTTTTTTCCTTCTAACAGGAGGAAAAGAAATGTCACCAAAACTACCTACAGGACACTAAGCCCTGACGCAGCACAGTGGTCTGGAAGGCAGTAACTAGCAGTAAACTTAAGCTCTCCCTTCCACCAGAAGGCCAAAATGAATAGAATTGTAAAGACTGTGACTCTTCCCAGGAGCCCGGAGCCACCATTAGACCAAACCAAAGCCTCTGGTAACTATTTCAAAGGTGAAGAGTTCTAAGACAGAAGAAGGAATGCTTAAGGGTCTAACCCAAACCCTACCACACATCCTAATTTTGAAAGTCTGGAAGAGCTGGACATTTTTACACACCCAATAATCCTCTCAATCTCTAAAGATGAAGGAACTGGTATGAAATACATGGAAAAGGTCTGGACCTTTCTCTCCCATTCTATCTTGTTCACCGTGGCATTCTGGTAGGCTTTTGTCCAACCTCTCTGGGAGGCTGGGGTTAAATGCCCACAGATAAAGCAGACATAAGAACATCTCTCTCCCAAGACTGTGGTGGAGATTAAGGAGGATAGTCTATGATGAGAAAGTGCACATTGTAACTTCAGAAAGATTAATTCTTCTTATCTCATCCCATTTGTATCATCAAACTTTCTCATCGTTCTCCACCTGTTGCCCAAAATGAGGGTAAAGAATAGCAAGGAAAGAAGCTGGGTGCAGTGGCTCAAGCCTGTAATCCCAGCGCTTCGAGAGGCAGAAGCAAGAGATTGCCTGAGCCCAGGGGCTCGAGACCAGCCTGGACAACTTGGTGAGACCTTGTCTCTGCAATAAATCAAAAAATTAGCTGGGTGTGGGGGTGTGAGCCTTGTAGTCCCAGCTACTTGGCAGAAGGATCGCCTGAGCCCAGCAACAGAGTGAGACTCCAACCTCGCCCCTAGCCGAAAGAAAAGAATAATAAGGAGAGAGAATAAATCCTCACAAACCCGTCCTGCTCCTGCTCGCCAGGTCATCAGAAGTGCAACAAATCTAGAGAAGGGTGGATTCAGATCAGGGACCCTCTGTTATCCACAGTCAGAAATCCCTGGGATACACCAGAAAGAGTTCTTCAGTAGATGAGCCAATGGAAGAATCAATCTGAGACTCAAAATGTGGAGAAAAATGGAGCTAGAAATGCCTTTGAAAATCCCCAGGGTTGCACTGAATGACTATAATTTTGGCTTTATGTTTCCCAGACTATCACACTATATGGAAGTGGTTTTTTTTTTTAAATAAACATAGGGTGTGCTACCACTTTTTATTCAGGTAATATGTGGTACGTTCAAGCCAACTGCAATTGAGCTTCTGCTCTGTTTACCCAAATACTGCAAAATCACTCTAGGCCTAAAAGGCAGGAAAATAGAGAGTATTAGTCATGACTTCCTAAATGATCTCCCTCCCACAGCCACATCCGTCCCCTTCATCTACCACTTGTTGTCTAGAGACTCAGCCCAACACAACCCCTCCCCTTCCATTCCAGAACCTTTCTTTCAATGGGTATTTCAGTGTGGCACGTACAATGGCCCGGTGCCTACAGATATTAGCATGGCTGAGAGTCTCCTCATCCCACTCCCTGGCCCAGCTCCTGAGGGTAGAAACTCTTTTGCTGCAATCTCAGGACAACCCATCAGCAGAGGTCATGAGCTCCCGACCAGCAGCGCTGCCTAGCCTCCTGAGCCCTGAATGCAAGGGTCCAGCCGGCCTGTGGTGAACTGATGGCCACTCCCCTCCACAACCCAGTCCCACGCAACAAATTCAGCTTTCAGATGCTGAGACTAAAGTACACTGTGGCCATAGCCACAGGCCACTGAGGCAGCCTTGTTTAGATAACTACCCCTGGCAAACAGCCCTCGGCAAGTCCCGCCTACACGACTTTTCCTTTTGTTTTTTTTGGTTGAAGATAGAAAAATAACACAGTGGTGAAAAAATATTGACCAAGAAGAAAGGTCATTTTATATTTTTGCTTTTCAGTTACAGCTACTTAAGAATGCTCCTCGCCCTCACCCCACCCCCTCCTCCGCCACCGAAGCACCCACGGAACAGCCTCCAAAATGGGTCCCTCACCCACAATTTTTCTACCCCCACTGGAGTCACACAGAAAACTGCCTGCAGGATCAGGAAGAGAAGCCCAGGTTTCCAACTCCCTGTCTGTTGCTGACACCAACCCCACGTATGTGGCTATCTCAAGCTCATCCTCAGTTAAGTTCGGTACCAGCCTCATTGCTGGATTGCCACCATTCACCTGCAGCTTTATTTACACACAGAGTGGGTGGACAGGGGTCAGTGGAGCTGAGGCTTTCTTTCTGCTTCCTTTCCGTTTCCTCCTGCCCCTTCGGGAAGCTCGGCAGACACCACCTCTCTCACGATCACTGTTCTGATTTCCAAATCTCAACCTCCCATCTAGAACAACGATGCCCATCCTATGGAGAAAGAGGAAACTCTGCTTCTCATCTGATGCCTCCAGACTGACGATCAGGCCAGGAGAAGGCATGTGGAGGGTTCAGAAGGAGTGGAGAGCCTCAGACAATCAACTGGACAGGGCGGGGAGGGGAGGGGTGGGAACCAGGTTGCAATCAATGAGCTAAAGCTCTCTGCCAACCTGTTGGCTACCCTGGCTGCGGCAGCCTGTCCCTGCTTACCTCTGAGCCTCCTTGTCCAAGCAGACCAGCTATCGGACAAGACCCTTCCCACGGCAGGCAGCAAGACGTTTTTTCTGTCCCAAGCCTATCAGTTCCACCCCTCTCCATCACAATGCTCACTGTTCACATTCTGGAGGAAAACCTTAAAGGCAAATATGCTGCCCGTTCTTTAAGCAAAAAAGAAACACACACGCATGAGAATGCAACGTGCACCCTCTCCGGATAGGGATCTGGCCTCCCTCCCCCCTTTTCCCTGCTCTCCAATTTGCCAATTCTTTCGTCTCTTATCACAAATACTAGAGGGTCATGCAGCTGCTCAGTCTGTGATGTGATCGGTTTCCTTTTTCTAGAAAACAATCTATGAGGTTTGCGTGTGCTGTTTTCTTGGGGATCCACAACCAAGTCTCTTAGACTTGGAGATTTTGCCCAATTTCCCCAAGCCACTCCGTTGCGCCGCCTGACAGGCGAAACGCTCTAGAAGGGACCTGCAAACACAAGTCTGGCCAAGCACTCTGCACAAACCACCCAGAGACGCCACAGGCACCCGGGGCCAGTGGTCCTGCTCCCGCGGCCCCAGGTCCTGCGTGGAAGCGAAGGTACTCACATCCAGGCTGTCCCTCCGGCCCTACATCGTGTTCAGTTTCTAGACAACTGTGGCCGGTGCTTTCCTGGCGCGGTTGGGCGCTCCCCAGGGCTGTCACTCCCTGTGGGTCTGCAGTGCTTTCCGTGACAGTGCTCACTGCCTTCTTCCCTTCAGCCTCCTCAGCGATGCTGGCCGAATCCCATCCAGAAGCTTACTAAGACATCCAGTCGGCTCACGATGTTCTGTGGCTCGCTAGTCTGCTTGTCACCGCTTCAGAAAGCCTCGGGTCTGCGGATGTCGATGGACTGCTCCCTCCCGCCCACAGAGGACCTGTAACACTGCCCCGGTGGAAGAGTCAGGGAACAATTCACAGATTGGGGGGGGATGTTTCTGAATGACGCTCGGATGACAGAGACACGAAGTTTTCATTCTTTCTTGGCAGTAACGCAAGGAGAGACGCATGTGCGTGTTGCAGGGAGGGAGGAGGCAGGAAGGGTCAAAACCCGGGAGGAACTGCCTTCCTACTGAACAGTTGAGGGAGGGCTTGCCTTGTGGGAGAAGCGGAGCCCAGACACTCCACCCGCCTCGTCTGAGACTTCCAGCACAGGGACTGCGGCAGCCAGGAGACAAGGGTCTGGCTGAGCAGCTGTTCCTGCCGTGCGTCTCACAAATGCTCCTCCGAACAGCGGGGAGGGGGAAGGTAGTTAGGCAGGGAGCAGAGCCCCCAGGGAAGCGATCACAAGTGCCGGCAATGGCCCTAACCATGACAAGTGTGTCCTCCGGCCCACTTGTTGAAGCGCCAGAAACCCAGCCACCACCCCCCACCCTGGTGAGATCACAGAAAGGGAGAGGGCGTTCATTGGGACTTGAACCCTATCCCCACATTTTCCTCTTTGTCTCTAAAAATAGAAGCGTTGGTCCCACAGATGGGAAAATAACTCTACGCCATCAGTACAAACCCTCTGAGCACCTTCCCATCCCAAGGCTTTTCCCTATTTCCCAAGGGTAACAGTGCCTGGGGCAATGGCTGCGGTTCAGCCTTGGCCATCCTTTGGCTTAGACCAAGGGCAGGAGACCAGCTGGGGACCCTGGTCAGCACATTGCAGAGAGACTGAATTCCACTGAGGCAACAACTTGCCAGTTGAATGACAAGAGCTTTTTTTTTTTTTTTTTAAATCAAAACAAAACAAAAAACAATGCTCATACGAGTCTATCCAAAAGCAATCACTTCTGGGTCACAGTGATTGCCACTAGAGGACAAGTGAGGATACAAGAGAGACGCAAATGACTCAATCCCTACTTTATTTATTTATTATTTTTTGAGTTGGGGGTCTCACTTTGTTGCCCAGGCTGGAGTGCAGTAGCATGATCACGGTGATCACAGCTTATAGCAGCCTCGACCTCCTGGGCTCAGGCGATCCTTCCACCTCCGCAACCCTAATGGCTGGGACTAGGCACAGGCCACCATGCCCAGCTAATTTTTTTTTTTTTTTGAGTTGGAGTCTCACTCTATCACCCAGACTGGAGTGCAGTGGCCGCTCCCGGCCACCGCAGCCTCAACCTGCTGGGCTCTGGCGATCCTTCCACCTCGGCCTTCCGAGTAGCTGGAACTACAGGCGCGCGCTACCACGCCCGGCTGATTTTTTGGTTTATTGTGGAGATGAGGTCTCGCCAAGTTGCCCAGGCGGATCTCGAATCCGCGGGCTCAGGCAATCCACTCACCTCGGCCTCCCAAGGCGCGGGATTACAGGCTGACCCACCGAGCCCGGCTAGCTAATTTTTTTAATTTTTAACTTTTTGTAGAGATCGGGTCTCGTTATGCTGCCCAGACTGGTCTCGATCTCCTGGGCTCAAGCAATCCTCCCCTTCAGGGAGACCAGCCTTGAGCCAGTAACAGTAACAGTAGCTACACAGTGAGAGGACCTGACTGTGATTTCAGGCATGAGCCATTACACCTGGCCATGATCCCTACTTTAAAGAAACCCATCAACTGGCCACTGATAAGCCATGATCAGGGCCCAAAGAACCAGGCGCCAGAAGAGAAATGTAAACTGAGAGGAACAGACGTATAACCCAAAAAGTGGTCCATTTTCTTACAGCTTCCAGGACACTTCCTTCGCCTGAGAATATCTACTCACACAAGTAGGGACCCTTAACACTACCCATGAGGATACACAGCACTGACTGCTCATGGGACTGGTGTCCACGAGGGCATCTGCAAAAGAAAGAGCTGATGGGGCAGAGCTGCCGCTCTTCAGCCAGCCCAAGGCTCCATCTACACACCCCACTACTGCAAAGGAACACGCATGCTTATTTCTTGGGCCACAATTCTTCTAAATCTCACAGTTATGGAATCTTCCACATAACCACTTTTGCAGGAGGCATAAAGAGGCTGTTGCAGTGAAAATTGAGTGACATCTGAATATTATTCAAGAAACCTGTGACACACCCTCCCATCAAGAAAAGCTGCTTACAGATGTAAGAATCATATCAGAGGAATAAGCACGTCACTGAATGAAGACACGACTGGCGGAAGGCCCAGGATGTAGCAACAATAACTTGCTGACTGACCAGCACTGCTAGACCAACACAGCCTACAAGTCGGGGCTCGGCATTGCCAGTTGCTACACACAGCTGGGCGCAGGGGCTCAGGTGGAGGCTGAGGTGGGAGGATCACTTG